AAAAAAAAAAAAAATTGTTTTTCAAAAATGAGTTCCGTTTCACTCGATCTCCAAGGTCGATAAATTGATTCTAAGTTTCTCTGTGTAATTTTTCTTTTTCCAATTTTTCACATATGCGAACTTCTTATGTACAATTGGACCAAATTTCGGACATTCTCCATTTTTCTATGAATTATTCTATATGTGCATTAAGATTTGCACCAATTGATGTACTTATTCTATATAGTTGATGGATCCAATATGCTTCTTATAACATTATTCTAAAACCAAGTCCATGATGAAAACAGCAAGGAACTATGATTATGTTAATATTATGTATACATTATAATTGAATCGGAACAAAAACACACTTCTACATAATGATTTATCTTGTCATCCCTCCTCTACTACAATAAAGTCGGGAGAAGAAGATGACTGTTATTTTTTTTATTTTTTTTATTTTTTTTTTCAACATAGACTAATGCCTCAAATTTCAGAAACATAATCACTAAAAAAAAAAAAAAAAAACTTCGGATGAATTCGATAAAATTTTGAAATGCTACCAAACAGAATAATTTGATGATCGAAATGGCATGAAAGTTTGAATAGGTTCTCTGTTCTCAACTGCTTTTTTGACTATAGATTAGAAGGAAAACTATAAGTGCAAGTTTCTATTAAAATTACTCCTACGAAAGCAACTTTTAAAGAAATAACTTTTCCACAATAATTGGTTTTTGGCACATATCAATCAATGGTTAAAATTCTTAAAAGCCAGTCAAGCAGAAAAAGGAAAGATGATCAATCAACAGATAATAATTTAAATTAGCCACGGAAGAGATTAGAGGTTTCTCTGTAGTTTATTTCTTCTTAAAATGGCTCTCACTGCACAGCTTTATCTATGGTGAAATATGCACCAATACTCCTTTTACAGAGGGAAAAATCAAAGAATAAAGTAATGGAAAAGACAACCTGTATTAAAGTTTATAGCTAAGCAATCAATAAAATTAGATTTCCTAACTTGGTCAAAAAGCTAGCAAAAAGGGTGAGAATAATATAAGGCTGGTTGCACTCTGAAATCAGCATTCCCTATTTCAGATGAATTAATTTTTAGATTACTTATGGAATGGCTAATAAAGTAGATTCACCAAAAGATATCAAGAGAATTTTAACGGGAAAATTGGACGGTTAAATGTATTCAAGATTTTAGTTTCGTAGTATCATTAGTTTCTAGTGGCTACATCTATTTGTTTTTTACAAGAAACGTATCATGAATGTAGGACATTGTTTTCGGGTTAAAACATTTAAACACAAATTGTTTTAGTTCTGTTCAATCACTTTACCGTTAACAAGACATGTAATGAATGTGGAAAATAGTACTAGGAGTATTAGTTTACAAAGATATTTTAATTAGATACGTTCCTATCTATATCGACTAGGATATGTCAATAGAGAAATTTTCATGCATCCGATGAGCGCCAAAAATTGAGTTTATGTATCTCCTACTTTCCCCGTTAGCATTTATCATTTGACAAGATACAAATCCAAGGGGCTAGTGTCATAAACAATGATCCCATTAAAGAAGCCCTGGCATGGGGAGATGGCCTATAGAAAAGTAGATTGGTGGATCAATAGTACAATTTTGTCTTCAATTCATAATCATTTATAATTTGCAAAAAGATGAGCATAAAAGTAGAAGAAAATGTAATACAATTCTATTAAAAATAATTGGCCACTCCAAAAGCTAAGGAAAACTAAAAATGGGTCGCACGGATAGTTGAAAACAAAAGAATAACAAGTTTAATCAAAAGTCTAATTACATTGATGCTACGTGAAAGATGATAATTAAAAGGTATAGATTGGTAAGAGTATTGTTCCAATGGATAACTCTTCTATAAAGCTCATTAATATCCCAGCTCATTAGTTTACGCTAAATGATGGGTTTCAACTTAAGAGGAAGAATTGGTAATAGACACAAACCCATCCATCTTGGTTCTATATTTGTTCAAATAAAATGCTTAACCAATTTCATGCACCAAACCATAAAATCCTTTCTACTTTTAGCCTTTTGATCTTCTCATTCATCCCTACAGTAGGTCCTTCTTCCCCTATTTTTTCCCCTATTTTTTCCATTCTACCAATGAATTTTCTCTAATAATTCATAAATTTAGATCGACTAATTGTTCTCAGATAGCACCTACGGCAGTATAGATTTCCCGATTGCGAAATGTATTGAAGCCTTGGTAAGTAAGAAAATGATGAGATGCTGTATTTCAAATATTGGATTTCATATTCAAATAAAACTCATAATGGCAAGAAAACAAAAGTTAGATTGGGATAGAATCCTACTTCGTAGGATCTCCCCCTTCAAAATTGGATGTGAAATTTCCTTTCATTCAGCTCAAGTAGGTACACCAAATAAAGAAGAGTTCTTTCAAAGGAAATGCGTCTAGCTCGAATCAAAGGAAAAGAGAGACCAACCCAAGTAGTTTCTTCAGCTCCTTTAAGGGTTAAGGAATAGAATGTGACAAAGGACACCACTTATGATAAGAATCATCGAGGGCAAGCTAATAAAGAGCAATTGCATATTCCAGATTGATACGGATCAATAAAAAGAGAAGAATTTAAACCAATTAGAAAATAGAAGGAATATGAAGTATGTACAAAAACGTAAATAATGTACAAAAATGCATATAACTTTTTGCTCGGCTATTTAATTTTCATCCTTGAATACAATCCGGAAATGTCTTGTGATTCTACACAAGTTTGTCGGATGATTAGGTCAAACTTTGGGGGGTCAAAATCGGTTCTTTAGGGATCCAATTTTGTGTTTTTATGTTTTGGATTTGTTTAAAGGTGTTTTCGTTATTTGTAGTATTTTAGTTTTATTCAAATTTGTTTTGTAGTTTTGCAGTTTATTTGGATTTGTCTTTAGAATTAAAATTTTGTTTTGATTGGGAGTTTATTTTATGCCCATAAAAGGCTCATTCATCGTATAATAAAGACATTAATTTTTTAAGTATTAATCATAATGTGAAATTTTTCACTTTCTTTTTTGTTCTTAATTGAACAGAACTTATCAAATATTTTCAATATTTGTAACGTTCAAACTATCCGAAATTATCAAAGATTCTCATCAGTCATGGTGTTCAATAAATTTATAGCAAGGCTCATAGTTTTGTAATCAAGGGGTTTACATATTATCGACGATTGTAGTGGTTCAATAAATTATTAGATCAAGCTTCAAACTAGAGTTTTAGCTTTCTTGGGATTGTGATTCAATCTTTTTGTTGGTTTCGGAGCTAATATTGTTACGTGGGTTTACATCAACTTAGCAATATACAAACTAGGGAGTGAGAAAGCAAAGAATGGCTCAGCATTTTATCATCTTTAGGCCAAACATTTTTCAGTGGGTCTATATTACCTTTTTCGCACGTACGACCCTATTTTCACCTTTTGACATGGGAAAGGGGAGTCATAGAACCAAAAAGGTACTGCATAAGGGGAAGTAATTATCGAAAAGAAATAATAGAATTTTATTACTTTTCTATCTATGAATTCCAAAATGACTGACCTATCGTAGAGTTATAGATCACTACAAAAGAAAACAATCAATGATGATTAAAAATTAAACTATTTGAAGAGATGCTTTTAGATTGCCATACTTTCACCAATCCAATATCGAGAGAAACTATTCATGATTGATTTACTTAAATTTCAGGTTAACTCTACGTGTAGTGAATTATGAATACCATGAAATCAGAATGGTAAAAAATGATAATCTGAAAGGCGCATCTGTACAAGTAAAATTGATCATACACTCCCAATCCTCAAACAGAAAACACTTTGAATGAAAAAATAGGAAGTACTGGGTGAAGAAGAGAAAATTAAAACATATGGAGACAAGACAAAAGAAAAAGGAGTCGATATCTGCATCTTGATGCATTATCAACTTATTTTCTTTAGTGGAAGTCAGCATTTCAAAGTACATATCCATATCTCACCACCTTCTCCACCACCAACCCTATAACATTTTTCATTAGGGTAAAAAACTACAAGTATTGTGATAAATTCGAAAACCCAAACTTGTGGTAAATTATTTATCTAGATATACAGCCATTTTCGACTTGTTATGTAAAGTGAATTATACAATATTGAATAGTAAAATCTTGTCGATGTACAGTCCTCTCAAACTAAAAGCATCCAAAAATTATTATAATACACTATTTGCAAGATTGCCACACAAACATTTCTAACTTGTTATATAAGATGAATTACACAATACTAGATAGTAAAATATTGTCCTTGCAAGCTAAAAACTTCGAAATATTCTTACAATGAACTATCTGCAAGATAGTTGATTGCAAATAGCCGTTGACCAAATCGCTAAACTATCTCATTTGAATAGGTGATAAAAAACTTGCTTAGAACATGGGTCTTCTCTAATAATATTATGTTGAACTACCTCGTACGCATTTATATTTTGAATGTTATTGAGATGCGTAAATCAAATAATAGAATGCATACAAAAGTCACAGAATTAAAGAATTCTACTGTTGCTCTAAATTACAAAATGGGGGCCACAACACCTTTTTCCACATTATAAATAACCCCTCCTCTTTACTTTTCTTTCACCTTCCATCAACAACTTTTTGTACCTGAAAAATCCCATATAGACCAATCCAAAACTTCTGCCTGCCTATTTACCAATACCAGTCGAAAAAATGCAGCCCAATGAGTTAACACAACTCGATAGTCTACTTTCTTCAGACCTAAACCAATACCCTTCTCATTTTGGCCTAATTCACAACAACACACCAGCATATCAATTTAACAGATTTTCTAATTTGTATCAACTTCCCCCAGTTCAAGAATTCAATCCCCAATCGACATGTAACTGGACTTCGGATGAAGCCGATGAACACCAAGTCAGGGTTATAAACGAGAGGAAGCGACGACGAATGATATCAAACCGAGAATCTGCACGACGATCACGTATAAGGAAGCAAAAGCAACTCGATGAGCTTTGGTCACAAGTTGTCTTGCTCCGAAACGTGAATCATCAACTGATAGACAAATTGAACTGGGTTTCGGAGAGCCGTGATCAAGCAGTACAAGAAAATTCTCAGCTAAAAGAAGAGGCTTCTGAGCTTCGTCAAGTTATCACATACATGCAGCCCCAAAGTCCCTGTCGTAATCTGATCATAGATTTTGATGATCATGAATAATGAATTGACTTAACTCAGGGCCAGAACTGAATAATTATATGAAGAATTGCTTTGTGGAGATGAATCAGGGTTTAATTTTAGTCTTCTCTCTATCTTATGTTCTTTAGTGATATTGGCTAGGTGACCCTACCTTAATTACGTAAAATTTCTCCCATCAAGGAATATTATGTATATCACTATGTACAATTATCGTCTTTCAAAATTGGGTGTAATCCGTACTAAAGATAATCGAATGCGCTTCTCATCTTAGTAGAATAGTGCAAGTGGATCACGTTTTAGGATGGTCAAGTACTTGATACCATCTTCAATGATTGTTGAAAATTAAGAGTCAATCATGATGATTTATCATTTAATTAGAAAGAAAATTATTATATTAATTACTATATGTAAGAGAGACAATAGAAGAAGAAAAAGGAAAGTCTAAAACATAACTTTTAGTCAATGTTTCAAGTAAAATACCTAGTGTGTATTTGAGCTATATTATTTTGGAATAATATATTTGGAAATAATAAATTGATGAAGAATGTGTGATTAAAAAATGAAGAAAAATTTTGAATTCGAGTGTAATATTATTTTATTGAAGAATATGTGGTTGAAATGATATCAAATTATTGTTTGACAATGTATTTTTTGAAAGAATGCAAACCAAACAGGGCCTTAAAATGTTTTCGATGAACAGTTAAGTGATCATGGTCATCTAAATGAGTAAGTTGCACTTCCTCGCTCGTGGAGGTTAAATTCATAATTTTTCTTGTTAAAAACCCGGATGTAATTAAATAAATTAATAGAAAATGAGGAAGAAAAGGAGAACAAAATTCAAACATTTTGTGCAAACACATCCAACTAGTCTCAGCCATCCCCCCCCAAGTACCCCCACATGTCCACCCTCTACTTGGCTTGTTCTGTTCCTTCACCCCTACTACTTGGAGTTAGCTTTGGAGAAATATATATATATATATATATATATATGGGTTGCCTAGATTCTTGGCAAAATAGATTGACGAAAAGAGGGAGGAAAACTTTTAGAGTTTTGCTAGTCCCCCCTATAGGCAGGGGGTCTGTCCTTGGAAATCCCTGACCTATGTGGCCCGGGATAAGAGGCATTAAAATTTTAAAAGAACGAATAATATTTTTCCAAATAAGTGAGGATTTTTTCATATTAGACGAAGTAATGGTCTTTCTAACACCATGATTACTTTACCGAATTGAGTACTTGATTTTCGTTTGACAATAAAAATATTAGAGGTCAATTTTTGAGAAGACCTCTGTGTCTTGTAGTTAGGGAATAGACCGTCCATCCGCGATAACTAAAAAAGGTTGAACCCCAACCTTAAGGGTCCCTCACCGTCCCTGTCCTGGAGCATCGTGAGGGAGGTAAATCGCAGGTTATGCCTCCAAGGATATAGGGTGGAAGGCTGTTTGTACACTTTCACTTATCCAAGAGCCAAATCCATATTTCAGGATTCGAACCCTTGACGCGGCAGCCTCAAGCAAAGTTGGATTTTTCCACCCTTCCCTTTTACCACTTGGAGATGTGCCCTGGGGGCAATCCATCCGCGATAACTAATATTTATTCTTGATGGTAACTGGTGTAGTTTAGGGTTCGGAATATGGACAATTTTAGATTTTTTTTTCTTATAATTAATTTATAAAATTAGAATTTTTATTACGGTATTTTAAAATTTAGAATATGATTATATTGCATTATAACTCAAGCCTCAATTATATGTTCAAATTCTCAATATTCTACAAAATCAATGAGTTTTTGACACCTAGATTTCTTGCTTTCATGATTGAATCTAGGGATGTAAAGGAGTCAAATCGAGTTGAATCTCGTGGCTCGGGTAAAAAAAGGCCCAAACTTTTTTGGTTCAAGTCAAGCTGAGCAAAAGCTCTATCGGAAAATCTAGACTCAGCTCAGGCTTTCGGCTTGCACCTTACCGAGCCTAGAGCTGCCCGGGGCTAGCCTAGATTTCAAAGCATTCCAAAGCACATCATCATCTCTATGTTAGGCAATTCCTCAAACATTTCTAGTGCCTCATTAATTAAATCAAGCTTCAAGTAACAACACACTAATGCACTATCTATGAACAAATCAAATTCTAACCGAAGTCTAAACAACAAACCATGAATCTTTTTCAAACTTACAGAATCTGGACAAGCCTTAATCGCAAAAGGGAAAATAAACGTGTCGGGTTCCATACCAATCAGCTGTATTTTACAATAAAACTCAAAAGCCTCATTCGCCATGTCATTGACAGTAAGACCTGTAATAATAGCGTTATAAACGAACACATTGTGAATGCCGTTTGATACATGAAAACCCATAAAGTATCAGCAATGGAGTAACTCTTGGAGTACATATTGATAAGGCTAGTTGTAGAATCAGGAGACTCAAGATGCCATTAACAATCATGTGAGTTCTCTGCCTCTTGAAAGGTCCTGTCAATGGGCAAATGATTGAACTGATGCAATGCAAGATGGGAGGCCCGGGGCAGGGTGCGAATTTGTGTTGGCTTGGACGAGAAATTAAGGAAAAATTGGTAATTTTGTTTTCTGAACAACGACGCCGGATAGATGGTTCTATGCATTAAATTGGAATTGATTGCAAAACATTCAGGCAAATTTGGAGTGGTAGTAAACACCCAAGAGGTCAAATGATATTTTCTTACTCGCTAATGTCTTCAAGAGTGGAAAAGTAAATGCTCCGGCCTAACAGAGATGATGTCGTGCTTTGGAGTGCTATTACCACCATTTCTGGCAGGTGTTTGCGTGTGACCCGTGTCACGAGCTGGCTCATAAGCCACACAGGCCAACTACATTTGAAAGTGAGGCTCAACATGAGGAAAAGCATAAAGCGTGGCAAGGTATGGATGCCAAGCTTCGGCCAAGTTGTAAAAGCTTATTTTCTTATTTTAATATTATTTTAAAATTTTAAATCAATCTAAAATTATTTAATGATGATGATGATAATAATAATAAAGCACGAGGTGTGGCATTTTGTACCCACTTCGCACATAGGCGCCTCTTTTTAGAACACTATAATCAAAATATTAAATTAGGATTTCCATTATAGTATTTTCAAATTTAGAATATATTTCTGCTGCATTGCATAATAAGAAATTGGATTTAGTGAAATGAAAAATTAAATATTCTTAATTATGTGTCCAAAATTTTGATATTTTGTCGAATTAATCAGTATTTGATGAGTAGCTTTAATTTCTAAATTTATGTGAGAATCAATAAGAACTAGAAGTTTGTTTAGAAATTTCATCAAAATACGCTTCGGTGTTCTCCTTGACGTTCGCCCTGTGTGTCAAAATTTGGATGATGATGGTTTTATAGAAAACAATGGCCTTGATGGATGCCATGTGGAGAGTGTCAAACTTAATGTAAAAAAGAATATACATATAGCATGATTAATAAATTTATGTGAGAATCAATAAGAACTAGAAGTTTGTTTAGAAATTTCATCAAAATACGCTTCGGTGTTCTCCTTGACGTTCCCCCCTGTGTGTCAAAATTTGGATGATGATGGTTTTATAGAAAACAATGGCCTTGATGGATGCCATGTGGAGAGTGTCAAACTTAATGTAAAAAAGAATATACATATAGCATGATTATTTTTCTAATTAACTTTCCATAGAGAATAGAACTATTCAATATGATAAACTGGAGGTCTTTGCCGGAATGCCAAATATGAAGCCCCTTTTTGATGCTCATTAAAATGTGTTTTTATGAGAAAAATGAGTTTTAGAATAATAATTTTTTATAGAATGTGTGGTTTAAAGTAGGGAAACTTTTTGAATTTATGGGTAAAACACTTTATTGTGAGAATGTATGATTATAAGCAAGTCTTAGAAAAAAAGAATTTTTAGGAAATGGTAGACCAATGGGATGTAGTCTTTGGTTAAGCTTTTTTTGTGACCCACAGTCTTTAAATTAATTAGCTTTTAAGTTAAATTTTACTTTCAAACATGTTTATATATATATATATATTTTTTTTTTCTTTAGTTATAAGTAATAAAAAATACTTCTTTCAACAACGATAATATATGATTTATTTTCTAAATACTGACTATTTTTGTCGATATTTGATAAATAGATAGAAATAGATGGTGGATAATTTAGCTTTTGATCCCCCTTTTTTTGTGACCCACAGTCTTTAAATTAATTAGCTTTTAAGTTAAATTTTACTTTCAAACATGTTTATATATATATATATATATTTTTTTCTTTAGTTATAAGTAATAAAAAATACTTCTTTCAACAACGATAATATATGATTTATTTTCTAAATACTGACTATTTTTGTCGATATTTGATAAATAGATAGAAATAGATGGTAGATAATTTAGCTTTTGATCCCTATTTTTAAAATTCATTTATTGTTAAGGGATAAAACCTCACATCGATTAAAGATGAAAGCATAAATCAACTTATAAGGTTTTGAACTAGTCCTCTTAACAATGTAGACCTTTTAAGATGGAATTTTAAATTTTAACATGGTATCAGAGCCTATTAAACTCCAACGAGTGATTCAATTCGATTAAAACTCATTATATGAGCATACGAATTTCAAAATTTGTCTGTGCTCAAAGAAGCCACCATCTTGTGGGGCATGTTAAGGTATAAAATCCCACATTAATTTAAAATGGAAACATTGACCAACTTAAAAGGCTTTAGGCAATTTTTCTTAACAAAATTGATCTTAAGCTTTTTTGTGACACAGTCTTTAAATTAATTAGCTTTTAAGTTAAATTTTACTTTCAAACCTGTTTATATATTTTATCTTTTTCTTAGTTATAAGTAATAAAAATTACTTCTTTCAACAACGATAATATATGAGTTATTTTCTAAATACTGACTGCTTATTTCTCTAATTTTGTTGATATTTGATAAATAGATAGAAATAGATGGTGGATAATTTAGCTTTTGGTCCCCATTTTTTAAAATTCATTTATCCTTAAGTTCACTTTCAATTATATATTTCTTGAAACCTACAACTTTTACTAACTTTTCAATCACTCATTTCATAAATTGTAATTAAAATTTATTAAAAATCTAGATTTTAACTAAG